GAGAGAGAGAGAGAGAGAGAGGAGACAGAGAGAGAGAGAGAGGAGAGAGAGAGAGAAGAGAAGAGAGAGAGAGAGAGAGAGAGAGAGAGAGAAAGAAAGAAAGAAAGAGAGAGAGAGAGAGAGAGAGAGAGAGAGAGAGAGAGAGAGAGAGAGAGAGGAGAGAGAGAGAGAGAGAGAGAGAGAGAGAGAGGGAGGTGTAAATCTGTATATTCTATATGAACACATGTGTACATGTCCATAAACAAATAGACATGCATGCATGCACACAAACACACATGCACCTACACCTACACACACACACACACAAAAGTATGTACATATACACATCATTTATACAATATAAAATTCCTTTTCTCAACCATTATTTGCTATTTACATAATAGATTGATGGAAAAAATTTCATTGTGACATACAGGTAAGTATTCAAGGATGATAAATAGCAATTGATATAATCAGGTATAACATTTACCCTGAGGCAAAGACAGCAAAAGTCATTCAACTGTTCATTTTTCTACTCTTGAGCCTCTTGGTCACATACAAAGTATTGTCACATTCAGGTCTGTGTGGTACATAAGATGTATTATCTCATCATTGTATCATGGACAATTCATCTTGAAGAACATCTATGGCATATTCATAGAGGAACATGCATTCTAGGCTGCAGGATGATGCAGCAGGATGGCCAGCTCCCTTCTGCCCTGACTGTGACCTCAGTATGCCAATCACAACGGAGTTGCCTGAAAGGGGCTGGCCATCTTACACAAGGTATAAGATGTCAAACGTTGTTTTATCTGCTAATTTTGAATCTCAATATGCTTACCATCCTTTATGCAAATGAACTTTTGAATCCCCAAATATCAGATGATAAAATAGTATGTTCCCCATTTTTCTGATTACAATCTCCCTTTAAATGTAACAAGTAGAATATGCCAGAATTAGCAAATACATAAAACTGACATCAGAAATAAATTTCATACTTCATGATGAAAGTTTTATTATCAACTAAATTGCCCATTTGCACAACACACACCCTAAACTTGGAAGACAAACACTTAGTAAAATTACTTAAATCCACAAATAAATCACCATTTTTGCATGTATGGGTATGTATTATTGTGTGAGTGAGTGAGAGTGTATGTGAAAGTGAGTGAGTGAGTGTGTGTGTGAGTGTGTGATGTGTGTGTGTGTGGTGTGTGTGTGTGTGTGTGTGTGTGTGTGTGTGTGTGTGTGTGTGGTGTGTGTGTGTGTGTGTGTGTGTGTGTGTGTAAGTGTGTGTGTGAGTGAGTGTGAGTGAGTGAGTGAGTGAGTGAGTGAGTGAGTGAGAGTGAGTAGTGTGAGTGTGTGTGTGTGTGTGAAACGCAGAGTGTATGTATGCATAACAGTGTGTGTGTGTGTGTGTGTGTGTGTGTGTGTGTGTGTGTGTGTGTGTGTGTGTGTGTGTGTGTGTGTGTGTGTGTGTGTGTGTGTGTGTGTGTGCATGAGTGAGTGAGTGAGTGAGTGAATTAATGAGTTTGTTGTGTGTGTGTGTGTGTGTGTGTGTGTGTGTGTGTGTGTGTGTGTGTGTGTGTGTGTGTGTGTGTGTGTGTGTGTGTGTGTGTGTGTGTGTGTGTGTGTGTGTGTGTGTGAGTGAGTGAGTGAGTGAGTGAGTGAGTGAGTGAGTGAGTGAGAGTGAGTGAGTGAGTGAGTGAGTGAGTTTTTGTGTGAGTGTGTGTTTGTATATATGTTGAATGAGTGTAGGTACATTTGTATGTGTAATTGTGTGCATACTTGTGTGCTTGTCAAGAGATTTAATTAGATTAAATTACAACTGAAAATAATGAAGAGTCAACTATCATTTTCCTCAAAAGTAATAAATACAAGTTAAAATATATTCTGTGACTCAAAAACAATATCTATCCAGTTAACAAAAAGGAAAAAAATAAGTGCTACTGTTTATTTCTAAATAAGAAAAACTTTAATAAGCATTTAGTAGTCTCACACTGAGAAAAGGAAACAGCTTCATGTTCTGTTGCACAACATACCAAGATGGCATAATGTACAGATTAAGTACACAAATTATTCAAAGCGCAACTTGTGAACTACAGATGCCTAAAATCTGAATGCCTTTGAAATACTTACATATAATGTCAGGTAATTAGGCTTACATGAACTGGATCAAAATCCTAATTTAGAGAAATGACAAATACTAAAAGAAATAAAGAAATTATCTATATGCATGTCCACTATTGTGTGTTCTTAAATGAATCTTAAGGTTACTGCTTTGAGTACTTCGGAATGGGCAAAAGGGACACAGGTACGGCTTCTCCCCAGTGTGAGTGCGAATGTGTTTCTTCAGATCACTACTTGTTGCAGAGTGATGTGGACAGTGAGGGCATGAAAAGGGTCTTTCTCCAGTATGGATACGAATGTGTATCTTTAGGTTATCACTGCGGGAACAACGAAAAGGACAATGTGGGCATGAGTATGGCTTCACTTCTGGATGTGTTCGATAATGCATATCCATTTGTACTTGTTGGATGCAAGTATAGGAGCACTTGCAGCATTCAAGTAACTTGACTGCTGTATTACTTTCTTCAGTCCCTGTCCTTCCTCCTCTGCCAGTCCTCATGCCGTCACTGTCCAGCATCACCTGTTGAGGATGCCCAACTTATTCTTGTTGCAAACAATAGAACTTTTGAGAACAACGTAAATCAGTCAACTATGCACCATATATGCTAATTTTATACCTGAATTATAAAGCTCATACATGCTCTTTTGTTAAGAGTGACACAAATCAAAAGCTTCACTGATCTAAGCTTGGATACTGCTTTAGAACGAACTGCAGGTCAAATCCTAGTTGGTTCCAAAGTGGTAATTTTGTCTTTCAATTAGTAGGCATGTTCTAATTCACTCTATTCACTTTCTATGAATAAAGGAACTTTAAAGACATCTTCAGGTGTTTAATAAATTTTCCAATGCATACATCAATACTGTCACATCTAAAGAGGCCATAGTCACAGGACTATAGCAGAATTGCATATTTTAAACAAAGACAAAGACAACATGAGATCATGAGATGGAATACATAATCAGCAAAATTATGAAACTGTCTAAAAGAACATAACATATCCATTATGGAAATTCTTATTTCTAATTGCTTTGAGGGGGAATGTCACAAAATTTGTTGCTGTTGTATATTTACAGACTAGAACTGTAAATCTTCAAATCAGCTGTTCATGAGGCATCTACTAATCCTTCATCACAACACTGGTAACCCTTGTGACCAAATATTAATTTCTTACGTTATAGTCTAATACTTTCACAAAGTAAAATACATATTATCACAGTATAACCTCTCTTTATAAGAGATGATTCATTCATAAGTATTGCATACTCATATCTGAATACTTTGGGTAATGTTTTCTAAATCCAAGAAAATCCTTCCTCGATTTCATTTCTTATAATCTTTAAAAGGAGCTGCAAGAAACTTGTTGCTTTTGAGCATTGGATTCCTAGAAATGACTGAAAGCAGCACACCATATATATGCATATATATTTTCACTTGTAGCATAACACTATTTTAACTTAAAGCATTCCATGTTACATGTGAAATAACGTTTGGCAAAACAGTTACACACCATTTATAACTAAATAAAATACATGCAAACAAACAAATATCTTTTAAAAGTGATAACTTTTGTCAGTTATTTGTACTAGAATAATGAGAATTCAGGAATATTATTTTTAAGCTAAATATTTGTTTTGTATTTGAAAAGGAGTGAAAAAATGAATTGTCTGGAAGCATTTTCATAAGTCCAACACATCATAAACCTTTATAATCATATGTCATTCACACAAGCATACACAAAAACATACACATGTAGAGTGAAAGACATAGAGACAAAAATCAATACCCACCCCCACACCCACAAACCCCACACACAAATAATTGCTATCACTGTTATTATCATCATTAAAAAAAAATACAGATGTAGAAATATAAAGATGCACATATGCAACTCAAAACCAAATGTGTACATTAACACATGCAAAAGTGCAAGCTCAAATACTTTCAACCAGATAAACATAACCACAAACATACTTTCTAATACACACGCATTCACACATTTAAGCACAAACACAGATAAACATATATGCATCACCTGTCCTCACAGACCATTCATCAGAAGCATAACAAATAATATCTAACTATTTTCTCTAAATTATACTGTCATCTACAGAAAAGGATATACATATTAGTGTCACTGGTACTTAGAAGTTATGTAATTGCGTTTGGCTTTTCTCCATTGTGGGTGCGTAGATGTATCTTGAGATTGCTTTTCTGGGTACAGCGGAATGGACAGTAATGGCAAGAATATGGTTTCTCTCCAGTGTGAGTTCGAAGATGAATTTTGAGATTGCCGCTCTGTGTGCAGCGAAATGGACAGCAAGGACAGACGTAAGGCTTCTCTCCTGTATGAGTTCGCAAATGGACTGCATAGTGAGCATACTTGGGAGTGGAGTAGCCACAGTAGGAACACTGGTGTATCTTGTTGGTTGAGGTTTGACTCATGCCAAAGCCTTTCACGTCTTCTCCACTTGAAGTCAGTCCATCAGGGTCCCGTCCCACCTGTAGGGGATGCCCATCATTTTTATTGCAATTCAGTGCTATAAATTACAGATCTTAACGAAATTAGGTTGGTTTAGTTAAAGGGGAACAAATTCTTATGACTTATTTCTGGCAGGTAAATTTTAAAAACTAGGTACACATTTGGAAATTTTACTGTGAAACTTGTTTAATCTTGCCCATAGCATTCAGTTTCAGATGTACATACTGAACAGGTACCTTATGAGAAAGCAAGAATATAAGATAGAGAGAAGGAAAGAGAGAACATGTGTGTGTGTGTTTGTGTGTGCGTGTATTAGTGTGTCCTGAGTATGTGTAGTCCTCAAGCATATCTAAAGAAAGTTAATCTACATTAATGCCTTTGGAGATAAATAAATGAATATATTTGACATTGATATATCTAACTGATTTAATTATCAGTTTTAAATAACATTTTACCATAAATCATAATATTCAGTCTAGGATGAAGAGAACATCAACATCACAGACAGGCAAATCAAAAGTCAGACACTGCCACATACATACATACTAGAAAATAAAGAGAGAGAAAGAGAGAGAGAGAGAGAGAGAGAGAGAGAAAATAATTGTTATACCCATTTTTGTTTACCCAGTTATATGCCACAAAAGAATACAATGCAATGTAAAACCATAATTGCAAAAAGCCATATAAGTAAGAGTGAAGCAATACTATTTTGTATGTCAATATGATTTGATTCAGATACTCACTGTGAATCTTATGTTAAATCTTATTTCAACTTAACCTTCCAAAAAGATAAACAGCATCATTACAGATATCATGGGTCTAATCAATACTGATTTACACTTGGAACAAAACTGAAAGTTGTATTTTTTGACAACAGAAACTCAAGCAAAATTTAAAATCCACATTTTTCTTCTCAAGACTGACGTAAAAATACAGTCATGATCATCAGTAACATGATTTTACTTCTAACCATAAGGCTGTCAAGCTTACAGTAAATACAAATTTTGTGAGTAAATGATTCTCAGAGAATCATTTACTTGAAAAGGTTAAAGAAGATTTCCTTTGAGTTCAAATGTAATTCTGAAAAATAAGTGTGATAAATGATGCTTGAATACAAAATCTTTCATAAATATATGCATACATATCTAATAGTACCTGTATGCATATAACTTTAAATAACAAACATTTTCAATCCATAAACACACAGAGCTACTGTTTTAAACTGAAGGATGCAGAGTAACAATTACAATGTGGTCCTGACTTTTTACTCTACAATTTGACCTAACTGCTTTAGAAAAAAACTAACAGGTACATAATATCATTTTTATAACATAAACCTAACCTCCAAATCAGCCACAGATTTAATCAGCAAAACAACAGCTTTGGAAACATCATTTTTAAAGCAACTAGCTTTTTAGCAAAATGCATTAAAATAAACATGAACAAAAGAAAAAGACATTACATTTAAGAGTTTTCTTGAACAAAAGAAAAAGACATTACATTTAAGAATTTTCTTAAACATTACTGTTCCCTCTAACCCACACAAAATGCTTAGTACTATTCATTAACATAAAACCACATATATCATTCTAAGCAGTGATATAATTGGAGGGAGGTGAGGGGAGGCTGAGGGGGAGATAGAGGGAGAGGGAAAAGGAGAGAGAGAAGGAGTGAGAGAGATGAATAATAATAACAAAAGACCAAGTGTTATTATAAAAACATGCTCACCCTGGGTCACCTAATCTAGAAATCAACACTTGAGCTGTTGAACCTTAACTACATAGGAGCTAGAGAAGCTATGGGAAATGGTATAATATTGCTGCTTCTAAACAACACAGGAATTTCCTCCTCATTCTTAAATATAAAGGTCTTCTTAACAAAGTGTTCAAACAAATTCCTTTATGACAATGCCATTTGTAGTTTCACAAATGGAAGACTCACTTATTATATAAAATAATGGCACTAAAAAGCTTTTTTCATTTAATATACTACTTACGACCATCATAAATCTCTCTTATCACTTTATAATCGTTTGCATTAAACTATTATTAATAATTCTTCTGATTAATCTTATCATCTTATAAATGCATAACAAAATATGTATATCTTAATTCAGCTATGCATATCATTTGACTTAAACTTAGATGCAACAATAACATTATGATATATCCGAATCTTTTAAATACACTTCTTTTACATATATAAAATAAATATTTCAATACACATATTATATTACAAGATGTACTGGTGTTAATATAAAATGCTTCTTTATGCTATGTAAAGGATCATTCTGTATATATTTGATAAACAACATTAGGATGCTTCTTATTCTTGTGAAGTAAAAATAAAAGCAAAAGGTTGAGGTTCTGGTGAATATTTTTGATAAAATTTAAGGCAATTCCATAAAAATATGAGCAAACAGTATTGCTAAAATAAGGGGGTGGGGAATCAAACCTAAAGTCTATCTGTACTGTGTTGCTGGAACCTCATTACATTTCCATTTGGCCAATACAGTCTTACCTAAACACACAATAAATCTCCAACCTTCAAAAATTCATGCATTATGCATACAGTTGAAAAAAAAAAAAAAAAAAAAACAATCTTATTCCAAGTAAGACTGCATTTTAGCCTTTTAAGGAATGAAATAATATATACTTGGAAAATAATGCTTTAGAAAGTTTATACTAATTTAAAGTGAGTATTTTTTCTGTGTATCAAACAAAATGATTACTAAAATACTAATGTAATATCTTCAAGTATGCAAAATATCATAGCTATAAAAACTGTAACAAATTGTGACTAGCCTTGGCAATGCATCTGTATCTAGTATATTTCCTATGTCAACTCTATATTAATAAAGTTAAATATATATTGCAAAACAGGTAACATTTGTTGTAGGATCCCTTTTAATTCTATTATCTATATTGGCTATATTACACAAAGGCAACAAGCAAGTTGTATTTTTGTTGAATTCATGATGAGTCTTAACATCTATCTGCACCCCAATTTGGAAAGTACAACTAAAACAACTAAAAACGAGAGATGTCAGTTTGTGTTACCAACACATATGATGTGACTTCCACGATTAAGCACACTGGAAAACTGTGAAAATGTTTAATGATCTTGTATCCATCACTGAAATATCAATTTCTTATATTTGGAATTTAGAAGTTGGACTTTTACCAAGCATTGAACTTGCTTTAAAGATCAGGCCAGCTAGGTACACTGAACAGGTGCACTTAGGAAGAAGTTCATGTTTCCTGTACACCAGCATTTGCTAGGCAAAGCTTTATAATATCTGAGATCTCAGCAGAAAGTCCTGCACTTTCTAGTATGGTCTACAACCACATTCATGAGCCCTTACGCATGCTTTTGTAGGATTTGGGTAAATGACTATGTATGGCTATTTGTGCCTTCGTAAATGTAAGTGTACTGATGTAAATGAACAATGCCAGTATGAAGATGGAGATTATAAACTTTTGGCTACATTATACTTCATGTTATGCAGAGTGGTGACTCAAAACATGAAATTTTAGAGCACCCTTTTGAGTAGCTCGATACTGACAGTGGGCACATGCAAAGGGCTTTTCTCCAATGTGAATAAAAATGTGTCTCTTTAGATTATCTTTAGTTGTAGCACAATAATGACAATGAGGGCAGGAAAAGGGCTTTTCACCAGTATGTGTGCGTATATGTATATGCAAACTTCCTTTTTGTGTAAAGCAAAGAGAGCAATAAGGACAGCAATAGGGCTTCTCCCCTGTATGGGTTCTAATATGGTTTGTAAGGCTAGTTTTCGAAGGGGTTGTGTATGGACAGAAGGGGCAGTGGTGCATCTTGATAATGCTGGAGTCCTTGACAGGTCCTGGTGTTCCTCTTTCACCCATCTTGAAACCATCACAGTCAAGCCCCACCTGTGGGGGATGCTGGTCTTACTCACATTTGAAACACAATATTAAAGAACTTCTGGAAACATTAAAATAACATAGGTGCAAGTAGCATGATGCTTCTTGCATGATACAATTAACATAATTCAAATGAAGGACTGACTGGAAGCAAGTAATGAGGTGAAAGAGAAATAAAATGGCCAAAGAAGATATCAAAGGTAACAAAGAGATATTGTCTCTCAGTCAAAAATTATACATCCAAAGGATGAAGTCTTTTAGTCTAGTAGCTAAAAGGTATTAATGGTTTACTGGCTATACATTTTGAACGTAGTGTGCTTGCTGTACTTTTCATAGTCCAATGTACTTATGCATAAAATTAAACATATTGTTATTATCTATCATCTAATATAATTCCTCTTGGAAAGGAAAGAAAACATGCATATACTATCACCATGTAACTTTATACATGCTTACATAAAATAAACACATAAGAAAAATAAATACATTATAAAGACAGATATATATACTGTTTTTTACACATGCATGCACTGAAACAGGCAGGGAAGAAGAGGAACTATATTTCATTCTTTTTGCGTATGTATGCACAGGTGTCAAATTTTATCACTACAAATCAATTACTGCATTTGCATATTATTAACACAGCCACAGTCTTCTACAATATTGTATTATGAAAATCAAGAATATTCTTAAAGACTGTATGATAACTAGATATTCTGTGTAATCACACATGAATCTTATAGCAGATGCAATGTAAGTCTTTACACAAACAAATGCTGAGTCAAAATAAAAATAAAAATGTTTATTTCTTCTTTATCTATCAATGGCTAGTTCTTCCTTCTTTTAAAATTATCCTCATAGGTGCTGGTCACATTAAAAGCTCCTTTACAAATAATGATAAAGTCTGTTCACTTTACAACTCCCATACATACCACTTATATTCCCAACTCTTATTATCCTATTAATATAGCATGCCTATCACTATAATATATCTCTCTGTAATTCATAAAGTTCATACTAAGAAGCTCAACTTATATCCCTAATCTCACAAAATAAAAATATATAAGTAAGCAAATGAATAAGTAAGTAAATCATTGTTTTTAAATGAGAAACCAATTCACGACTTTGTAATTATATATTTTAGTCTACAGTGATAAAGATAAATAAAACTATTATGCCAGAAATCACCTTTATTTCTGTTATGCTCCTCCAGTATTAACATGTGTAATTCATAATCTAGGATTTTACAATTATGACAAATCTACATAAAGTGAATCCTGAAGCTAATCTTAATAACACTATTACACACCACAGAATTTTTATTGAGAAACTGGGCCCCATTCATGATGTTTGAACATATGACTTTTCATGCTGCCTAGCTGAGTACAGCGATATGAACAATGGGGACAGGCATAAGGTTTTTCACCAGTATGAGTGCGAACATGATATATCAAGCTTTGTTTTGTAGTTGAGGAATATGAGCAATGCATACATTTGAAGGGTGTCTCCCCAGTGTGAGTCCTTATGTGATTTTTTAAGTTAGTGGCAACATTGGTTGTGTAAGCACAGTAGGAACACTGGTGTATCTTGGATGGAGAAGCAGTGGTGGTGGTAAGGCTCTGCTCTGCTACTCCTGTTCGTCTTCCAGGCCTCTTTCGGTCACTCTCCAATCTCATCTGTAGGGTATGCCTGTCTTATTCACTGTTACTTTACCTAATTTGTGAATATGTAAACCATTATGAAAATTCTAATCTTAAGTAACTAATTTAAAATTATGATAAACTAGTACAAAATTCACTCCAGTGGACAGTATTTATCTGATATTTTCCCAACAGCCAAATCAAATCAAATGATGATAAATCTGCAATGCAAGTTTCCTTTTTCTTTTTGTTCAAACCAATTTATTGCTACTTTTTTAGGGATCATCCACAATCATCAACATAGTCAAAACTATACAAAAATCTAGTATCTTTGGAAGACCCCTACCCTCCTTCAAGGAAGAAGCTGATCATTTTTGATAAAATATCTTAATATACATGGGTTGTTAACCTCTAATTTCCCAGCCTACATTCTCAATGCTTTTGAAAATGCTGATGATCATGGATGATCCCTTATAACATAGAAGTTCGATCAATAAAAATCTACTGTCATAAATCTATAATAACCTTCAGCCAAATTTCACTAAGTCATGTATACATGCGTTGTTAACCTCTGAATTTTCAGCCTATATTTTCAATGCTTTTGAAAATGCAGATAATCATGGATGACCTCTTGTAATACCAAGGGATCACAGTACCTGCATAAATCTAGGGTACTAACAAACCACATTTCACTATGTGCTGACCTTGACTTACTGGAAACTCAGGGGGAAGGAGCTTTGGTGGTACACATTCTACCAGGCTTACCAGTGGCTTTTATTAAATTTTTCTAATGAAACTGCAAAACTTCCTATGTGTAATCAACAACAAAAACATGCTATGTAAACAGAGGAGTTTTTCTGTATTGCTCTGTTGTTAGGGTTGCCATCCATGTAACAAAGAAAGAAAGAAAAAGAGAAAGAACTGTATTAATTGTGTAAAATGTAGAAAAGGTATGAATGGGAATGAATATTTTCCCAGCACAAGAGTTGTATTTGACTAGTTTCAATGATACCTACGTCAGAGATACATTCATTTCTGACAAAGATATAATCAAAACCAGTCAAATACATCTCTAGCACTATGTAGATATTCCTTCTCATTAAAAAAAATAAAAAACATAAATTCAAATTAATTGGCAATAAATACTTGCTGACTAAGCATTAAAATATAATCATATTAAAATATAATTAATTTACCAAAATAAATAAAAACAATCTCATGTCTTTATATCATTATGTAGGTATGTATTAATTTAAGATAAAATCTTGAACCTCAGCTTTCTTTTTTCAGCATTCGGCCTAGTAGCGTATACTGACTAAAGTTTGAATCTATATTCTTCACACAATGCTTTCAATGTCATATAAATCTACTTTTCTACAGATATGAGTCATTATAATGCAACAACATGCTTGCTTACAAGCAATAACAATAAAACCTATGAAAAAAGATAATCAAGGAAAAAAATCATCAGAACCATTCTGATAATTTATAATGTTGATCTAAGAAACTCTTTTTGTATCTCTTATTCAGATAGGTATATATATCATCCTTTTAGAATCATGGCATATGTATAAAAAATTAATTGAAAATATCATACCGGAATTGTATCCCAACTTTCACCATGACATTAGTTCCTACACACAATATAATATTGAAGTTTCACATCTAAAGTATACACAACTAACACAGTATAGATAATAAATACAGCTCATAGAAAGGTAAATATATTTATATACAAATATATATAACAGTACAAAGTTTTATAACAAAAGAAGAGACAATAAAAAATAACCATTTAACCACAGTATCACACATGGTATGTAAGAATTAACTGCCCTTACTACATAAAAAATAATGCTCCATAAATCTGATACACTTCAGTGATGAGTAAACATATGGCTTTTAATATGACTTTTCTGGGTGGAGCGATAATGGCACTTTGTACAAGCAAAAGGTTTCTCTCCAGTGTGGGTTAAAGTATGTCTCTTTACATGATCCTTGGAATTTGACCGGTACGGACAGTATGGGCAGGCATATGCTTTTTCCCCAGTGTGGGTAGTGATGTGCTTGTGTAAATTTGTGGACACATCGGTCGTGTAAGTACAGTAGGGGCAACTGTGGCTCCGCCTTTTAACAGGATTTTGTGTCTCTTCCATGATTCCTCCGAATGCTTTCCTCTGACCATCGTGGTCCATCGCCACCTGTAGGGTATGTCGATCTTACTAAAGATAAACAGAAACTACTCATAAAGTGAATATAAATAGAAACATGGAAACAACATTTCCCCCCTTTCTTGGCTCTACTGCATTTTGCATGACTTATCTATGGTAATAATCATATAAAAAAGATAATATAGACAAAAGCAGCAGCTATAATAACTAATGATAATGAACATAATACAGATAGAAATAATCATCATGAGAATATAAACATTTAAAAAAGTATTTAATCTTCAACTACAGTATTTTAATCTTTTATCTCACTTATATGCAGTAAAAAAAAAAAAAAAAAAAAAAAAAAAAAAAAAAAAAAAAAAAAAATCCCCATGATTATATACTATGGCTTGTGTAATTACTAAATATAATACTTTATCAAAATAATATATAGCACTTTCCCTCCAGTGGTATAGTGCTGCTGAAAAATAATTTATGTATATACAGACATTACACAAATATCCACATAGATACACACATCACCACCCCCTGCACTCTATCATTCACTCACTATCTTACATATACTCTCATGCACACTCACTCTCACATACAATTGAACTGCATTTACCTCAGCACCGAAGACTAAAACCAAAGATTTTTGATATCCCTTAGTTGCATCAGTTTATGATGGTCTCTATTACACGAATAAATGTGCAATCCAAGTGAAAGTACATCCTATTTTAGGTTGGAAAGAAACAACAGACCATAAAATCACAATTATCTATTATTTTCCCAAGTCAACAATTATTTATCAGGTTTTGGGGTCATATTTCACATCTTTAATCATTCTTATCCTTACAACCATTAAAACATTTGAGGTAGCATATCTAGAAACATTTTGTATCTGTGAATATACATAAATTTTCTTACTGAAGGCAGGTAAAATTGGACTGTGACGATCAATCTCTCATCTAGTAACATTATATTCAACTATGATGACAGATTTTTTTTGTCAGTAATGGATGGACATTATATAGTTAAATGGACATCATGTTTAACATTAACTGAACAACGATAAAGGTAAAGAGGATTCTTGGCTAGAATACCAATGTTTTCTTTTATAAACTATGAAAATATAGACATCTCTTAAAACACAATTTTGGGTTATGGCACATAAAGAGAATTACAAAATATATGCTTCTCATAACTGCACAAAATATACCCAAGTATTCCATATTCTATCACGTAAATATTGGAAAAGATTATATAAAATAACCTCTATTCCATGAGGCAAAACAAAGGGGAAATTTCCTTTCTTTTCAATATGACCCAAGTACTTGTCTGTAACTAATACTAAATTATGCAGCCATCTTCCTGAAATCTACTTGTTAACCTTTTGAGGAAACTTCAAAAGTTTACCAACTTGAAAGGACAGACTTTTACTCTTATGTTTCTATTTAGTCTGATGTCAACAGCAAAGTTACAAAAGCACAGGTATTTAATTGTGAATTTAACAATGATTTACACTGTCATGGATTTTGTGTGGTATCAATTTCTCTGGAAAATGGATTTTATATATGAACATGTTGATAAGGATGACAGGAAGGTATGCAATAGATACTCAATAACTGCCTTATGAATAACGACAGCAGTATAGAATGTAATGGAATTTCTGCTTTCTCCCTGTATTCATGATAATTTACTTCTAAAAAAGATCTCCCATCTAATTCTCTTATATGTTAACAAATAGTTAATTACTTGTGAACCATATTCAATACTTTTAAATATTCATTCCAATTTTTTTTTTTTTTTTACATTAACTGGTAGTATACAATAAAAAAAACCTAAGAGATGAAATACAAAATATATATATATATATACACATTCTACTAAAACAAACAAGACTCTATAAAACAGAGTAGGAACTGTTTAAAATGCATATAACTACAGACATTTAGAATGTATCTGTGTACCATATGAAGATGTGCTTATTAGTAATTAGAAGCCAAAAAAAAAAAATATACAAAAAACAAAAAAAGAAAACAAACAAAATTGAATTACATCATAAAAAATAAGTTTAAAATTTCTTCCTTCACAACAAAACTATAAGAGAACATCTTGCTCTTTGAATTTCTTGAATAATCAGAATAAAACATATGAATAACTTCTTTGGGAATCATTTAATGTATTTCAAATTACAAGTAACAAACACGAAAATAAAATACACCTACTAAAATCAAATCAGACTGCCACTGTGCACTTTAACAGAAAGTAGCTATACTATACTGTCTAACTAATATGAAAAGAAAAAAAAAAAAGAAAAAAGAAGAGAAAAGAAAAACCAGCTTAGCTAACAATATTTTTTACAAATAATAATAATAATAATAATAATAATAATAATAATAATAATAATAAAAGACAATACTATTTCCTGATATCAGCAAACATTTTGTACACTTGTAAGGAATTTCTTAACAAAAAACATGCTATCACTATATCATCTGAATCAAATCTGTAAGTGCAGACAGAGCAGCATAAGGTTTATCGCCTGTGTGTGTGCTAATGTGACGTCTAAAATTTGTTATACAGTGGGTCGTGAAGGGGCAATGAGAACACTTGTGGAGCTTCCTGTTGACGGGGGCCTTCATTAGTCCCGCAACGCCTCCACTGCCAATCCTGTGACCATCTCGGTTCAGCGCCACCTGTTGGGTACGCCTGTCTTACTCAAAGAGGTTTATAAAAGGCAGTGTGTGCTTATGATGAATAATCACAGTTTCTTAAAAAGAGAGCTTATAGTGTCGAGCTTAGGTTCTTTCTCAATGTAAATTGTAAGTTCAAGTAAAATTTTAAGGTTCTAAAAGAAGGATATCTATCACATCAAAATAAAATCATATCACCTACAAATGTTTGAACTTCATTACATTTGAATCATTGTGATAAAAAGGGTGTTTTAGTGGAATATTCTATAACTTAAAGGTGATAACAATTATAACAATAAACAAATAATATTGCAACTATCAATACTTATAACAATGATAATCACAATAACTAATTGCTACTGACAGATCAATAATTGTAAAAATCATAACAATTACTAAATTATTACTATCATTATCGTTAATAATAACAACAATAACAATAATAATAATAATAATAATTATCATCATCATCATCATATAATGACTGCTAATAAAAATGTCGCCAAAGACGATGATGGTAATGACAATAGTAATAATAACTCATCACAAAAAGAACAATAAAAAAATAACTGTAAAAACAATAATCATAAAAATTATAATCATAATCATAACAATAACAATACTACTACTAATAACAACCATAATAAATAAAAATAATACCAATGATGATACTTGCAATAACAAAATAATAACATTGAAAATTAAAAAGAGAAGATAGAAAAAAAAAGAAAAAAAAAAAATGATGATGTTGATGACGATAACAATAATAACATCATAAGAACAATAATAATAATAATAATAACAAAACACTCATAATAACAACAATAACAATAACAATGCTACTAAAAAACAATTATAAAAAATAAAAATAATGCTGGCAATAAAAAATAATGATACTGAAAATGGGTAAAGAGATGAAAGATAGAAAGAAAAGAAAGAGAAATATGTGAAGAAAAAAAAATAAATTTGCATTTTCAGTACATTAGCTGCAAACTCTACTTTTTACAAGGAAAAGAATATTGATCTTTAAAATGCCAAAAGCTAAACAAAAAAATCTATTAAAAAAAATAAAAAGATTTTTCTTACTACAGACCAATGTGAACTGCACATAGCCATGAAGACATCTTTGACAACTTGGGTTTTAACTTCAAATGAAGAAACTCATCATATTGAAATTCTGCCTCAAAGAAAAGCAGACAAAAGAAAACAAAACAAAAAGGAAGACAATTTCTCTCCTCTCTTTTCATATTCTTCTCTATTTCATTTCTTCATGGCATCCAAACTATTCTGATTTTACTTTCCTCAAAATTCTTAGGATATGAAGCAACCCCAGCTAATTTATTTGATCAACAGAAACCACATTAACATTCTATTTTTCACCTTCTTTTCACCATGTTCATAATATGCAATCTGATCATGCCTGGTGCAGCAGTAAATCCATTTCCATTCTTTCTGAACACTATCCTGTACTAAATAGGCAGGGGTGAGGGGGGGTCACAGATTTGGTCATAACTCCTTTATTTTTATGTATTTAGCAGAAATATTGTGTAACGGAATTGCTAAAGCCTACTAGAATTACAGATTTTCGAGCATTTTCTGAAGTATTCGTCAAAAATTCATCGCGGCGGCCCCCTTAAACAGAAATCTGTACTATATCTATTTGTTCTTTAAACTAAACACAGTTAAATGTATGACTAAATCATATTATCATTCTCTTCTCTAAGACAAGGTAAATTGTGCAATGGCAAAATTATCTAACTTTTATGTAGCATTGTCAGTACTTATTTGATTCTTATATCATTTCCTTTTTATCTTTTATCAACTCCTGCATGCCAGTCTAGGGATATAAATTCCTAAATCATCATTTGTAGTGTTTATGATGCATCGAGTTACTCATATACTGTATTTAGTTATAATTTCCATTTCATCTATTATCTTATGTGTTGGGTTCAGTATCAGCAAAATGATAATACACATGTAAAAAAAATTACTTTTATTGCTCTAACAATAAAGTTTACAATTTCAACATTTAAAGAAAAACAAATCTATTTCACATTATAGTTATTACTCATTCAACTGAAAACAAGTAAAGAAAAAAGTATAAATCATTACAATAAAACTTAACAAATTGATAAGAACTCTAATCTTAAATAAATACTAATTTAAATGTCAAATGCTTGGTATGCTTTTACATAAGGGAAGGGCAATGTATTTTGGTTTAAGCATCTAAACTAGTAACAAGTGAAGAGTTTACTTTCTGACCTGTTGTGTTACATGATATAAATTACTCATTATTCTTTGAGAAATCAATGCAAAAACAAATAGGGAATAACATTTGGGCAACTATTATGACTATTTACATTATTGTTCTACACTACATTGTTGTTCATAGCTGATATCTTTCTATAAAAATATGAACATTTTCATGACATTAATTCATTACAGTATAGAAAAAGAGTGAGTTACAATTTACCACACAGTACACTAAAATTCTCAATATACCTAGAATTTTCTTGTTACTGATAACACATAATACTCGTTTTTATTCAGAGACAAGAGAAGGATTAATAAATCATTAAACATGATTAATCATAATACATTTCAGTATCTTAATGCAAAGTTGTACATGTACATGTATGTATGTATGTATGCATCTCCTGAAGTAGCGCTTAAATTTGAAAAATACTAAGTGTCCAAAAAAAGAATCCCAAATCCTGCTAAGGTGCTTTGTAGTATTCCAACTTGATATCACAATCAGACTAGTTTTTAGAACAGTAAAAAAAGTTTCCTCCTACTGCACAAATAGTTAAGAAGATATGAAAATAACCATAAGCAAGTAGACCACACCAACATTTCCATCATCATTCTTCCAAGCCAGCTAACTCACACCACATCTGGCAGTGGTCTGTCCATGCTACTATGTGCATGTTGAGTAAGCATGTGGTTATTCAGATCAACTCTCCTTGCACATGAGAGAGGGCAAAGGAAACATCTGAAGGGCTTGACTCCGTATGCCTTTGCATGTGACGATAGAGGTGATCTCTTGCATTAGAACGATATGGACAGTAATGACAGGCATAGGGCTTTTCCCCAGTATGGGTTGACATGTGTTTCCGGTAATTTGTTATGAAATGACTGGCATAGGGACAATAGATACATCGGTGCATCTTGCGAGTCTTGTGTCCTCTCTTAGAGGCTGCGGTTGGGCCTCTGGCTTCCCTCTGACCTTCGTGATTCATCTCCACCTGTAGAGTTATGGCCATCTTACTTTTACAGTATTACATGACTATTATATCAAACATATATTAAGTGTCTATTAGAATGACATAAATAATAAACACAGTATATAATAAAAAAATTACAACAATATCACTTTTTCTTTTTTTCTTCATATAGTAAGTTTTTGCACCAAGAACTAATTTTTATAAAGCATACCAAGATTAAAGAAAGTCTGTGTTCCTTAAATTCAAAATTAATATAAAGAGGGTGAAGGGAGGAGAGGAGTGAGAGAAAGGAAAAGAGAGGAAGTGATAGATAGAAAGGAAAAAAAGAGAGGGATATGTGTGAGAAAAATGTGAAGGAGACAAGAAAAAGAAAGGCTGAGAAAATCAGTAGAATGAGAGAGACTACCAAAGTGTAGTCCAATAATGCCAATTTTCCATCATTTATTTTCATTTACAAATCCTCAGATTCTAATATTCATTACCATTATCATGCATAGACTGACTTTTCTTCATAAAAAGAAAAGAAAAAAAAAAAGAAAAGAAAAAAAAAGTACATAATAAACAAGGGAAATGAAAAACATAATCATCAGATTTAGATATATATATATTTTATATATGTGTATATATATACATATATTTTCTCATCAAGATATTGTATAGTAAATGCAAGGATGCACCCTATTGTATGTATTATTACCCACTTGTCTGAGTTGATAAGCAAAGATTTCTCTGGGTTGTATCTAAGATGTTATTCTACCTCTTATATAACTTTATAAATATAGAACAAGGCAGTGCATAATATCTTGGGCTAGAAAATTCAATATGCTTTAATTCCACATAAGGGAGACATGATCACTTAAAACTTTGATTTGCAACATCTCAAAAGTTATTTTTCTTGTGAAAGAAATAAGCTTCAGAAACAATTTCCATTTGATCTAACTGAAGAGTGGTGAAAATGTAGAAGTTGTTTTTGTGATTAATTTATTGTTTGGAATTCTGAATATGTGGAGCAGAGGTGCCTAAGGGAGGGAATAAGTGTGGAAAGGGGGGCTACATCTATTACTTCATATGATGGAATGGAATAATATCTTAAGACTACATAACAAATGGATAATATAAACAAAAAAACTGAGTATGACTATCAATTCAAATCCATCTAATCTGTTGATGATCTAAATCTCATGTATGAAATATGAATATTAATGTTGCTAAAAAGGCCTACATGCATTCATGATACAAAGATGTTGCTCACTTCAAATTGAGGAAGACGGACAACCAAATGAAATATTTATGTATAAAGTTTCAATCATTAATTTGTAAAACCATCTTTGGTGATTTTCTTTTTATGCACTGTATAATGAAGTGGATGTAGTTATGATAGTAGCAGTAAGGGGCAGTGGGAAGGGGAGAAGCAATGGAAGGAAGAAAGGGAAAGGGAAGAGGAGAGAAGGAGGAAGGGGAATGGGTGGGAAGGAGGAAAGAAGGGTACAAGAAGGGCAGGAGAGAGGAAGAGAATGAATATACTGGTGTCCACTTTTAAACCTTCAACACTAACCTATATATGTTCTGAGTACACATTTGAAATCTTGCAACTCTGTAAACTTTCAATTTCTATCAAATTTCACTGAATCTTATTAGAAAAGAATACAAAAATATGAGTCCAAATTCAAGCATTTAAATATTACAGATCACACACATTATGTTTCTGAATACAACCATTATTCAAGAGATTTGGAAGTTTTTATAATCCAGATTTTTGTATTTCTTGGCCATACTATCTCAAACAAGCATGGGTCTTTGCCTGTCCTACTAGGTGCAGTCTTGAAATAATCAAGACTCCTTAAATTTATCTAAAACAGTAAGAAAATAAAATAAACAGAAAAAGGTAAATCCTACAAGAAAAGTGAGAATGGTTAGAACATACCTGCACATTATAACTAAACTATATTTATTCAAGAGTCAAACTTCATATTGTTGATTTTCCAGTCTTCTCACGCCTAGTTTACACTGAACTATAGTTCCTGATGACTTCTACCTTTATAGTCTTCAAATAATATTAATCAAACCGGTACACTGGGGATAAGGGAGCTCATTTGATGAATATGAAACGTTTTATATACAATATACAGAAGTTTGATACATGTAGAATAATGTACAAAATTTGTGACAGATGCAATTAAATTTCTTTATGAGAATCCTCTCACACCTCACTAATACTCATTTAAATCATGTTGAAAAAACTAAGAGAAAGTACATTTTCTCTAGTGAAAAACATAATGTTGGGATCCCTCAAATAATCTTCATAACAGATATCAGTTATTCCCTTTAACTAATCTTCATAATAAAGATATCAGTTTTACATAAAACAATAGGAATATGACTTTTACTCTATTCAGGTACATTCAATGGAATTCAGATTCTTTAACAGCAGATCCAGAAAAAAACTAAAAAATAAAAATAAAATAAATAAATAAATAAATAATCAACAAATAATGGATAAATAAAAAAATATAAATAGAATTTGAAAAATACAAAAGAGAAACATCTCAGCTAGGGAAACTTTTCGAAAAGTCTCTCCACACTCCATCTTTATTCAAACAAACAAGTTCTAAATAGGTAATATCATCCAAGAGCAACCCGAGACACCAGAGTGATTTTGAAGTGTTATATCATCCATTCAGTATTACAGGCAGATGCCAGTATGATATGTACAGCAACACAGAAAACTATCGTTAGGAGGGGTGTCAAATCATTTAATAACAAACAGAACCCTCAAGTTACAGAAGGGTTGGTATTTTGGATTTCAAATTTGTCTCATTCTGATTCAGGGCTTGAATAGCAATTTTAGAGTTCATGTGGATTCACTATGAGATGATGATTTTATTCCTGTAAGGTATAGAATATGCCTTGCAATGTTCAGATAAGCCACACATATCCAATTCAGGGATACCAAGTTTCGTAGTGTTAACAACTATATTTCAAAAGGTATCGTTGCTTGTGTCAGAAAGTTTAGCATGATTTTCTAACAATATTTTTCTGTGTAGCTGTACATTGATGCATGTAAACCATCCTCATGTCAATAATTCATATTCTTCTCTCATGCATGATAAAAATGGAACTGTTTGCTGGGATACCTATTTAAAGTTTGAATCAATTCCACCTGTGTTGCAGACTTACACACTGCTGTCTTCAGTTGCAGATCGTTGGGCAAAAATCACTTATGGTGAGATACTTTCTAAACAAGCTGATAGTTTTGAGGAGCTTGATAGTGCTAGTTTTGCTGTCCATCTCTATGTTTCAATCTGTTAATCATTCCTGACAGTAGAGTTTTTGACATGTAGGATCTCTACTGACCACCACTTCTGATGGTAATATATAATCTTTGTACGAGAAGTCATGACAAAAATACCAACATGAAACATATCAAACAAAAACAAATTGCTACAGATCCTTCTAATGATTGCATCAACTTTGAATATTATGGTGAATCATTATGTGATTCCTTAAATCATCACTATCTACAGCCTGATAGGAACAGTGTGGGCATGTTGATGATTTATCTCCTGAGTGTACACACGACACATGCCTTTTCAGAAGCACATCTTGGTCAGTTGTGTATGGACAAAAACGGCATGCAAATGTTTGACCTTTGTTGTGAGTGCGTAAATGCCTTTCTAAACTCTGCTTTGTAATAGCACTATAGGCACAGTATTGGCAAGAGTATGGCTTCTCGCCTGTGTGTCTCCTCATGTGGTTTCTCAAGTTAGTGGTGAAGTAGGTAGTATATTCAATATGGACACTGGTGCATCCTGTTGGTGGCTCCAAGTCCCCTCCCACCTGCAGGAGTTCCGTTCTTGCTTGTCCTTGGGGCATCACTGTCCAGATCCACCTGTTGGGGATGTCTTACTTATTTATGGAAAACAACTTTCTTTCTCTACTATATACTCACTTAATAGTATTAAGATTAATAAAATATTCTGCAATTGTGGCAGTGTTACTTATTTATGAACTTGTTCCATCCTTAACTAGTCCATTTTAAATCTTAGAACTTGTATGCAGAATTCTATTGAAATTTGCTAATGTTATTCCAAAATTACAAACCTATAAACAGTTAGAGAGAGAACAAAGTAAACTTTCAAAAATATAGATTTAACCGCAAACCAAAGTTTAGAGAAAATATTTACATCAAGTTCTTGCATTCACTGAAATTAACAGCTGAACTACACATTCTAATTGCTACATTTATTCATAGAAATATATATTGGTTATAACAATCATCCCAATTAATAT